GGGCTTAAGTGACTGCTCACGTGTCTGGCGGCCATGACTCCCGCTTTAAATTTACAGCCTTCATTGACAAGCAACAAACAATATATATGTGTATGTATATGTATATATATGTCATGTATTGTGCATTTATATATCTTCATGGGTGTCTACCTTTTCTGCCCGTGGTCTGAGGCTGTCTGAGTGAGTGCTTGACTGCGTCTGTGTGTTGACTCCTTTTTGGGCTTTATTGCAATCCAGCCAGGTGATAAACAGTCTTTTAGGGTCGCAATAATTTACGTACATGAGTACATAAGTATATATAACTATATATGTATATTAAAACTTAATAAAGTGTATTGCTCCTCATAAAAAAAAAATTTCTGTTGAAAATTTGCCCTTAGCGAAACTTTATTAAATTTCATTGCGTTCGTCAATTTCTCAGTGACTTTTCTCATTACAAATTTCATGGAAATCGCTCTTGATGTGGCTTATTTATATCTTGGCTTTTTAGTAAACTTAATTTGTAGTAAGAAAAATGAATTCCCATGCTGAACAATAAAATGCGTTGAGAATTAAGAACAAGTCGTACTGCAGGTACTTTATTGGAGCATTGAACCTTAAACGAGTCCAACAAATTATATTTATTTGAGCCCTAATACACTTTCGTGTGTGTCATTTGCTTTGGTTATTTGCGGCACATGCCACATGGTGCATGTCGCAAAAATTGTTGATTTTTTTTGTTTATGATATTTCTTGTTGGCGTGCCAAAGAGCGCTATCTGGAAGCAGCTGCTGTTTCTGGATCTGTTGCGTGCTGCTGCCCATATATACAATATAAATTTCCATCTTAATGCTTCGCTGCATTTTGTAGTTTACAAATGGTTAAATTTTTGATTTAGTGTGGCTTTTAATTTTCCAAACTTCAAATCGTTTCAATGCCAAAATTGTCTATGGTCGCCTTTATCATACAATGGCACGAATTGTTTGTATAACAGTTAAGCACACACGCACGCCCACACACACTCACACACACACACACACACACACACACACACACACACACATTGAAAATTCAATATGAATTTCTGCAAACAGAAATTCGCTTTTTTTTTCTTTTGGCTGCATTCAGTGGGGTTGGACATCCTTTTTTGCCAAAGGCCACGCCAGATTGGCCCTTTAAACTTTATTTACTGCAAAATCATTTCCAATTAGCTGCAAAATGCTAACAGAGAGCGACTAGTTTTCAGTTCCTGTTCTTTTGTTATGCTCGTTTTACACTCGTCGCACGTGAGACTAAATAAGAAAACAAATTGTAAAGTAAATTTAAACCCACACTCAACACCTGCCTGGCTGTCGTGCAAAGGGACCGATTGTAATTGTATCAACTAAATGGCCAAAGTGTTGCCTAAACAAAGTGAAGTGTGTTGCAGACAGTGAGCTGCAAAATAAGTTTTAAACGAATCTCGGGTTTGCCGTAATTAACTAAGAAAATTCTTGAGCTGGAGAGAAACTTAATTTAATTTTGTAGTCTCTGAAGAATCATTTGCCATTCAAACTTAATACAGGTTTCAAGTTGCTTATGTCACTTAACCCGTTTACTCTTACATCAAATTTGCAAACAGATTTGTTGTATTAATAATTTATCAGCTAAATAGTTGTTCAATAAGAAGTGAGCGAAATCCGTAGCATACTTTTCTGCGCCTCCAATTTGGTATGCAAATTGAGAATTGATTTTTAGAAAATTTGCATAGGGTACAACTTAGGCAGAGCCGCAGCCGCAGGTAATGGCTTTATCGCTTTTTTTTCTCTTCCTCTCACTCACTCAGTCTACCTCTCTTACCTTCTCTATATCGATTCCATTTCGCATTAGGGCCTTCTGTGTGTGCGTGAGCTCGCTTGGGTTGGGTTATGTGATTGAATTTTAATTGGGCAAACTGTTAATTTGTCTGCCTGTCCCTTTTATCTACTATAGCCAGCTCCAGCTCGTTAGCTGAGGTATAAGGCGGGTGCTTAACGAAACCACCAAACCACAACCGAGTTAACTTTTTACTTACGCCCGAACTTTTAATACCTTAAGCAAAATTCTTGAAGTGCATGAAATCCATTAACCAATATGTGTATATGCTCTTTGTGTCTGCTTCCACTTTCTCACCCACTCTGTTTATCTCTTCTTTGTCGTTTTGCAGAGAGTATCCATGCGACCATTATACGTCAGTTATTACCGTAACGCTTCTGATGACGGGCTGCCCCCGCGTTGAGGTACACGCAACCGCGCTGCAGCTGCTGCAGATACTGGATAAACGCTTCTTTGGCAGCAGCGTGGGCAATTTGCACAGCGACAACGAGAAAGGTATGTATTATCTCCAATAGAAAATCAACCTGCATTTTTCCATCTACCTTAATTAAATTTCACTGCAATTGAATTTAAGTGCTTTAGCCATAAAATTCTGATGATTTTTAGCTGACTGAATGGATAATTTAATATACAAAATACCAACGATTCACGGTGAATCGATAAATTGTTGTCTTGACTTGGCAAAAGTAAAAATATGTGTAGTTTAATATATAAAATGGCCAAAACTATTTTACGCAGAAAAGTTGTTGCACTTCTTAATAATTGTAGGAAATTTTATAATTGTTTTTCAAAGTAAGTTTTTTCTTAATTATTTTGGAGAGTTTTTAATAAAAATAAATACATAAAATACGAAATTCTCTGCTGAAATTGGCAATAATTCATAGAACAATCTCTTATATTCAGAAGTAGGTGTGAGGAGATGAAGAGAGGTGTTTTAGTATTTTAGAGCCTAAGAGAAACTTTTTGATATCTCTATGTATGTATTTGCATTCCCATGTTTCTCTAACAAAGTGTATTCTATCTTCGTCTTGTCATATTCTTGCTTCATCCTTTTCAGTTGAACAATTTGCACAAGCTTAGAATTATTTTTGTTAGAGAATTTTCCTTTCTAATCATTCACATTGAATTTTTTTTATTTTTATTTTTATTTCTTCCCCAATTGTGGCAATAGTTTATGATTTGAGTTTGCAATTGATGTAACACATGTTTTTCTGTTGGTATTATGTATGTTATTTGTTATTGTTGGCAACGCTTGAGATATCCCATTTCATTATACACATTATATAAGCAGCTTTCTGCTGAATTTCGAGCCCACATAAAATTATTTGCTTCACTTGTTGTGTATGTGTGTATGTAAGTGTGTGTGTGTGTGTTTGGGCTGCGTCAATTTGATTGAATTGAATTTAATTTTGTGTGCAAGCGCAAGGGAATTTCAAAACCCGGTGTAATTTTATGGCAATTTGTTATGCACAAACTGCTCGCTAAACCATTAATGTTAACGTTCTGCAAAAAGAGAAAATAATTCGTGAGCAAGTCATCGCGGTTGGCAAAATTTATTTATTTATTTTTTTTTTTTTTTTCGGGGCGTGTATCTTATATGGAATAAGGCAAATATTATTTTTAAACCAAAAAGTGTAAAGTGGCCAACGAGAGCTAACTCTTTAAAATTATGGCAGACTTTCCCGATACTCGACTTGGAATTTATATAGTCAGGACAGTATATAGTGTGGTTGGATTATGTAGTTATATAAACACAGTTATATAAATGAGCTTGCAGTTGCTCTTGCTAAATAGCTTAGAGACAAGTTCTACATTGTAATTAATCAGAAATATTTAACCAAAACATTAGTAACTTATATAACATATCTTTTCTATGTTATATAAGCTAATAGTAGTATACGTTATGTCAGCTGCAATACCTGATTTGTCTCTCTATTACATAACTTAACATTAATGCGTATACTTAATATTAGCTGGCATAGGTTTTGCTATCATAATTAATTAAAATTTCCGTCCCTATTATACAATTCATTGTTATTATTAATATAACATATTATATTCTCTATGAGGATTATCTAATCGGTCCACTTTAGTTGTTTTTTGTGTCGTTAATGCCTACAGGGTATGTTAAGTCAACAATGAAAAGACGCATTAATAAAATTGATTTTCATTGAAATGTGCTAAGCCCCGCGCAGATTTAGAATGCCTGAATGTTAATTCGTCATGGCAATTAGCAGCAATTCGTAAACATGACCAGAGTGCGTGACTTCTGCTCAGCTTTTGCTGCTCTTCATATAATCCTTGAATCGACCTGCTGGAAATTTCAAATTGATATACATTTATATAATGTCTGTAGCTCTTGGCTTGTTGTTATTGCTGCTCGTTTCTTGGTTGGTCTTTAAAGTCTGTCGCTTGGTTGGGGTCACGGCTTATAGGGCATGTCCAATCTCTTTGGCTGACCTTTTTTTTATTACCAAGCACTAAGCCGCTTAGCTTTTGTTATAGTTATGCCTGGAGCAGAACGAACCGTTTGGCCCAAATATTTAGTTAACTGAACGCATTTCAGCAGCTTACGATGTGGTCAATGAAACATGTTAAATTGAAAATGTATTTTGTAATGATTGCGGTGTCGAAAACCCCAAACCCGAAACCCCACACCCAAAACCCCAAAAACCCACTTATAAAATTGATGCGCAATTCAGTTTAATGGTTGATAATTTGATTCGATTTCACATCCTTTGGTAGGCCGAATTCAAAAATCGAAAGTTCTGTGAACAAAATGCATATTTATTATAGTTATTAAATAGTTGGTGTACAGTTAATAATTGAACGTGTCAATTATTTATCGCAAAGCTTATTTATTTTTGTTGCACATTTATTAACGAGTCGAGTGTTTGTGGTTGACTATTGAATACTATTTGACAATCAATTCAATCAAAATTCAATAAGCGCTATTAAGCTGAAGCATTAAAATTAGGCATAATTTAATTTCATCTGCACACATTCAATTGTATGCATGTAATTGTTTGGCTAAAATTTGGCTTACACAGGTATACATAGTAGTTTTATATACACAGATACAACGACTGTTACTATTTGTATTAAAAATTGTTTAATTTGTTTTTAGTTTTTTTCTTTCGTTTTTTTCCAATTAAATTTCTTTTGATTTTACACTTATTTGACTTGAACATCACAAACAGTTTTAGCTTAAAGAAATACGATATTCGATTTGTTTTTTATTTAAAATTCTCTTAATGCTCGTTTACGAGGCAGGGAGACACTGGGTATATTAGGTTTTTTTTTTTTTTTTTTTTATCAAAAGTTCGCCTATCGCAGGCAAGTAAAAATTTTGTAGAGTTAGAATCAGTTAAGATGGATACAGATTATAAATAACACTTTCTCTGGGACACGCAAATTGAGAGATGTTTTTCCTGTACGAACGAGTATTCTGCAGTCGATGTCGCCCGACTGCTTGACGCTTGTTTTCAGTTTCGAAGAGTATTCTCTCCTTCGTTTCGTATTTGCTTCGTTTGTTAGTTTACCTAAGTGGATGCAGCTCGTGCATCTCGTTCCAGCAGTGTTGTGTCATCATGCGTCGCCTAGTCGAGGTGCCCGTGTTGCGGCAATACTCGGAAACTGCCAAAGACAAAAACGAAAGGAAAACCAAGTGAAAAACCTGTGCTAAACAGTTGAAAATAGTGCGAGCGTAAGTCTCGACGTTTTTAAATGCGAGTGCTGTGAGGGGAAAATCTCATTAAATGGAGAACTCTGCTGCTGCCAGTCAAGCGCAGTTAAAAAACTTTATTGACGTAATATATAACGTGTGTGTACGCAAATGTGTGGGTGGGTGTGGTTTCGTTGTGTCTGTGTGTGCTTACAGGTGATTGCGTGTGCCACATGTAGCTGGTTGCTGTGAATTATAAACTTTCTAATTATGCTGCCTTCACTCAGAAATATTTGAAATGTATTTAAACATTTAGCAAGTCTCTCTCGTATTCGAGAATTTGAAGATTTCCCTTCAAATTCCAGTCAAGTTTTCATTTATATTTATTTACTTTTCATAAAATGGGCTATTATTCAATTATCTAGCTGTCTATTTCTTTTGCCTACTTTTTGATGAACTTGGACCCGAGTTTCGACCTTTTTCTCTGCATTTTTAATTTACATTCACGGTCGTTATTTACCTGCCGCGATTCCATTTATACTTGTATTTGCATTAGCTCAGAATTGGGCTAAAATTCTTTTTTCATTTTTTAAATTTTAGCCCAATTTTGGAGACCCTTTACGGCGGATTTGCCGCTGTCAGCGCAGAGCAAACGTAGCGCTGCAAATTTTGATGTTTATACCACAGCAGATCTTGAGGTCTTTGTATATAAAGTATAGCATACAACTGTGCGCTATTTGACCAGCATTGTGTGCCTAATAAACTGAATGAGCGATTCATAGCAATGAGCACCTCATTAAGAGAAATCTTCCACATAAAAACAGTTATCAATATTCAGAAGTTCTGGCTAAACTCTTACTATTTATGTCTATATTGATCTATCAAAATATATGCATAAATCATCTATCATATCCAACATTAAATACTCAATATTAACAGATTTATGTTTGAAGCTATTGCCATGCTAACAGATCCATCAGCTTTAACTATCTTTTCTTGAAACTTTATCGTCTCGATTTTTATAGCAAACAAGTTTTATAACTGCTTTTGTTTTCGCCAACTTTCTTCAAGTAGCTCATCTGTTGTGCTTTGGCGCATTAACGCGCTCATCAATTTTTAATAAATTGAAAAATTTTTGAACTAATGTGAAAAAATTTGATAGGCTGTCAACAAAATTTGCAAAAGTTTTGTTTTTTGTTGTTGGGTGTTGTTGACAATGTAATTTTTTTGTTTTTTCTTTTTTGTTTGGGCGTATTGAATTTCTAGACAATCTCTGCCTATCAATCATGCACACGCTAGCCCGCATACATATTCATACGTAGATAAACATATAAATACACACACACATTCGCACTCATTCTGGCATCTGGTAAGCAACTGATGAAAATTGTTGGTTTGGGTGTGTTATTGTTTGATTATAAATAATATATGTATATATATGCATGTGTATATTTACATATATATTTTTTAATATACTTTTTTAGTCTGGTAGAAAAAAAGCGTCCTATGCAAAGAATTTCACGCTGTTGCCTCTGAAGTTCAAAACAAAAGCAGTACATAAAATGAAAATTGTCACCAGCAAATAATTTTGTATGATGAATGAAAGAAAAAGGAAAGCGGTGCTGAGCCTGACGGCGTTTGCCTGCCTGTGCCTTTGCTTGATTTTAATTAATTTATTATAAAGCCAATTATAAATTGTCGGAGATTTTAAAGAGTTGAGAAGAGAGAAGCCCCCCAGATGCTGATATCGTAAATCGTAGTGCATAAATCAAGCTCGCCCTTTCCCTTACAAATGCTCTTTTGTCTTCATCTATATAGAAGTATACATATATATATATTTTTAGATTAATGATGATGCTGCCCTTTAGGTGTCCACCTGACTATTTGTGCTGTTTTCTCTGAATTATATAGTTAAATAACAATGGAATCCAAATTGTTGGCCATTACATAAAATTCAAAGAGGAAGCATCTCAATGAAAGCCCCAAGTGAAATGTGAGATGTGCGTCAGAGCTGCCACGACCGCAAGTCGCCTAGGCTTAATTTATAAGTACAGAGCTACAGCCATATATAGTGTATGTATGTATCTGTGTATATAAAGGATCTGCGTATCTGCACGTTTTCCTTCTGCTTTTCTTTATTTTTGTTATCAGCTCGAATGGTTAAGTCAAGCGGCCGGGCCTCGATATTGCCACCAGAATCTGTGTATCACTGAGTGCTCCCAAGGCGCTGGCAATATTCAATGAGCAGTCCAAACACACAACAAGTAGAATAGCTCGAGGCCAGAAATGTTCGACTAGCAGATAACTGCAAGGTCCTGCAAAGCAAGGGGATTGACTGAAGGCATTTAAAACAGTGAACCGGCTTGCTAAATATAATAAATTGAAACAGGAATTCCTTAAATGGCTTGACTAATGTCATTAATATCGATCTAGAATCTTTCTTGATATTATTTAAGAGCAAAAAAGTATTGATAATATGTAAGCAGCTCTGATCTTAGTATATAGACTTCAGCCGTCTAGGTTAATTTTCTTTAAATTTCCCTTATCTACTTTTGCCTGTCACATCATCATTCAGAAAAATAACATACTCTGTCCATTTTAGGGTATGAAAAACATAATGAGCAAGCTCTGTTTTCCATGCCAAAGTTCGCGTATTGTATGCAACGCACGTAACACACATGGCGTATGAGCTATATACATTTAACAATAGAGTCTGCCTACGAGTGTGTGTGCTCGTGTTTCTGTGTGTGTGTGCGCGTGTTTCTCTGTGAATGTGTTAGTGCTTGAAACTGTAACGAATACTGTTGGCCAATCAAAGTCGTAATTAACTACAGCCGCATGATTGAAATTGTACCGTTCGGCAAACACTTATTAAATTGGAGAGCACGCGTTCCTTTGTGCGAAAGCAAATTAAAACGCTGTGCAGGATATGCAAAAATTGTCTGAAGCTTAGTTGGGCAGTGATTGGGGCAGATGCAATTAGCATGATGCTCGAATCGCCCGCGTGCCTAGATAGTGGATCTGCAGCTGTATTATGTAATCTGTTTCAATACTAACGCCTTTAAGCGTAAGCGTTAAATCAGTTAGTAAGTTTTTCAATTAGCGCGAGTCGAGAAAGTCCTGCACATAACGCCTGAATGGCGCCTAAGCAAATTTCATTACATTAAACCGGAATGTAGCTAAGAGCTGCTCAAATGAGAATTGGCTAAAAATATATTTCTAGGCTCGTATTTCTTGGAATTCAGATGCTTAAATTGAGTCTTATTAAATGCTGCGATTCTAAGAGACCCTATTGGCCTTTGAAACTCATTAGGCTGACATTTTGATGCACCTGTCTAATCAGCTTTCAATTAAACACGTTGCGACGCTGCCTTGGCTTGGCCAAATCACTTCACAAATTTTAAATCAATATTTGTTTTATAATTGCCAAGTGCTAACAACGAGCTGTCTGTCTATGCTTGATTCTGCAGTGCGATATTTACTCACAGCTGAGTTGGTTACTGTTTAAACACTTGTTATTGACGTGCGCAAAAAAAAAAAAAAACAGAAAAAAAAAAATAACAAGTAAAGCTTTATTGCAGCAGCATGGCTGAAGTCCTTAAGCTAGGAGGAGTATACACAAATATAAAATATGAATGAGTGTTGGGAGAGTGTGGGTGTGTGCATGTAAATAAAACAGGCTGAAGCACGATTTTTAAAACGTTCTGTTGGTCGTGCGACAATGGAAACGCTAATTACATTTGATGTAGCCGCATTCCCAACTGTTGTTCCACCTGCTCAGGTGCTGCCGCTGCCGCTGCCGCTGCTGCTGCTCTGGCAAGCGGATGAGGCTGTCAATATTTGTGTGTAACATACAAAAAACCTTTTGACTGTGCTGATCCCTTTAACCTTGGCAACTTGACTTGCTCTCAACTGTTTTTGCCCGCTTGGATTGTCGGCTTCTGACGTTTTATTTAATTTCATTTGAGTTCATTTTAAATTGTGCATTTAGCCACAAATGCTTAAGCCTTCGCCATTTGATTCACTCAGATTTTAATTTATGATCTAACCGGCTTATACAATACATTTTTAATGCAATAATCCGCGAAGTTGTCTTTATTATTACGCCTCGGAGCGCAATTTGTTACTGCCTCGAATTYGAGCATAAATAAATAATGTACTTTGAACAGGTAAATCTTAAAAAGCAAATTGAATTATAGCATTTGCGGGACTTGGTTATTTGCATAAGTCTTTAGAATTGGCTGGAAATAATTTTGATGATGGATTTGACATTTGTACTTATAATAAATTACACCAACTTGACCCTCATCATTGTTAGCTTCTTTTATCTTCTGTGTGTGTGTGTGTGTGTGTTTGTTATTCTAAACTACAAGAAACAACAACAAAGCTGATATAAACATAACATACTTCGTTGACCTTTGCGTCATTCCTCTCGATTTGGTATTCTACTTTTAATAATTTATCATTTTGATTGGAGTCTATCAATGGCGTTTCACTATCTGCTGCGTAGTTGACTTCCTTTAAAGCTCTTCTTCTTTGGCAAGAGTTAAAGCTTCTTTTCTAGATTAGCATAAAATTCTGCTGAAGTTTTTCTGGGAATTCCTTCTTTCACGAAAATAGGGATAATCAGCGCATAATATTAATGTGACAGTGGGAGGGCAACATAATTCAATAATATACATATATAAATGTATTCTTAATCAAAGCGTAGGTTTGAGTTGGATTAGTCATGTAGGCCTGTCCGTTTTTCTGTTTACATTATAATCATTGTCCCATTATGTTATTATGATGATAAACAAGTTGTTGATGATAATGTGATAATAATAACACTGAATATGATAATAATAAAGTGTATGATAATGAGTGAATCGATTATAATGTTATTAATAAGATTTTCTACTGATATTGGGGGCCTACTACTAAAACTCTTAGTACTATTCCCACTTTTGCTTTTATTCAAACTTCCGGTTCCATTTGTATTCATACTTCTTTATTTAGTTCTACGACTACATCAACTAGTACTCATTTATACTACTACTTCTTTATTTAGTTCTACTACTACTTCAACTAGTACTCATTTCTACTACTATTTCTTCATTTAGTTTTACTATTTGTACAATTAGTACCAACTCCTACTACTACTTCTTTATTTAGTTATACTACTATTTCAAAAAGTACCAAATTCTACAGTAGTAGAAGAGACATAGAAGTACTATGTTTAGTACTAATACTATTCTACTAATACTTCTAGTTTACTTAGCATTCAGCTCTACTACTACTTACTTGTTTAGTTATAATTAATACTATTTCTACTACTCTTCTATTTCTGCTTCTACTACTACTTATATTTGTTATTTTACACAATTCGATTCGTAATTGCATTGATATTAGCTAAGTTCCATATACCCAACGGATGTACAGTTTGTTCCCTTTCCCACATCGAACAAGTTGATTTTCTGAAAATAAGTGAGCTGTCTGAATTTTAGGCACTGGCTGCATCCCGTTGAGATTTGCCACTGCTTGTTTGCATTTATTTGCATGTATGAGCAATAAAATTTTCATTTCTTTGAATTTACTTATGCGAGACGCTTGAGCACTTGCTTAAGTATTTGGCAGCGTGTACATTCAGGTGCACCTACCTGTCACTTGAGTGATGCCTTCGCGTTGAGCCGACGAGACGCGACGGAAAATGCTGAGCACCGCTTTGCTGTATGTAATGTATAACAAGAGAAAAGATAATTACGGTTAAGAGCTTTTCAAGCCAATCTTCTGTGCAAAATTTAAATAACGAAACCGTAAAATAAACAAAGCAAATTATATTTTTCTTTTTTTTTTACACATATGTACACCATATGCACATGCAAACAGACACACAGGCTTCCATGTAAAGTACTTAAGCCCTTGTGTTGGAAGTACTTACCGAAAATTTTGTCCGCTCACGCAATAAAGTACGAAATTGATGCCAAAATTCGTAATGAAAAACGCATTGAAGATGTACTGCAAAACGATTGTTGAATTTTGTGTTTTGTCCGTTTGTGTCTGGCAGGAAAGCAGAAAGAGGAAAATATAAGTTTATCTATATGTATGTATGTATGTGTTTATATAAAATGTAATTTAATTTATGCTGCCATTTGTGGTATGCTTAAGTCTAAGCTGCTCTTTGAACTATTTATGCCATAACTTTGTAATTAATATTTCTTTGGAGAATCGACTCGTATTGCACGCTTCAGTATGGTCTATTAACCTGTTGAGCTTATTTCGACATTTCCAGTTGGTTGCGTATTTTGTTGCTGGAAAACCCTTTCGCTCAATTAATTTGATGTCGCAATCAATATGCAATGCTTGTCGTGCGTGCTGAAACAATTTGCAATTCATTCATTCAATCGCCTGCTGTCGATAGCTAAGGGCAAATTTACATGAAAAATGAAAAGCTACTTTTCCGTTCGGGCATTTCGACACGTCTCGTGAAATAACAATTTTCACAGTCTCTGAATTTATTCATGCGAATTATTATATCTGATTTGAGTATACGCAATTATATTCATATATATGCATATATATAACAGTGAAAAATCATTACACCAGTAAACAAATTTTCTGAGGAAAATATAATCCGTTAAAGCGTTATTTATATAATTAAATGCTGCAAAGTGTTGTCAAGAATCTGCTGTCATTCAGTTAATTCTTTTTATTTTATTTAATTTATTTTGTTGTTTTTTTTTTTACAAGGCAAAAGTGTCAAAAGTACACAAACTAATTAAAGCATAATTTTATGGCAAAGACAGAGCCTGGCATAATCATACTCCAAGCACTTCGCATTGTCGTGCGCTGCTGCGTAAACCCCTTCGTTTGAAAACATTCAAGCATGTCAGTTTATATACATAAGCGTGGCTGACATTTAATCAACTCAGCTAAATTTGTTTTTCTTTTTTTCGGCATTCTAGGAACTTTATTATAAATAGAAAATATCATACAAATAAAAAGGCGCTAATCGTGAAGTGCGTGACTGGGAGATACCCTGATTAATATTTAATGAGCAACGATTCAATGCAAAGTGTAAAGACTCTAGCTTTGAAGTTGTAGGGAACCTTGATTTTACAATTCAAGCTCGGTATATTTCACGGAACTAAAAATTTGCATATTTATTTATCTAACGGACAGCTAGAGGTATTTGGCTAAATTATCTCGTTTTAGCAAAATCATTATACTATTAATTACCATTTTCAATGGGTATATATAAATAGAAGTTTCTGAACTTATTTTATAACTAACTTTAGCTCATTAACGAAACACTATTTGGCATTATGTGTGCTCATTTCTTTTCATCTTCGCATTAAATATAAAAACAATCTCCTTCCAAAAACTTCAACTAAGCAGCAAAGAATATCATGAAATGAATATTATTTTTCTGCCCTTGGTCTCCATAGTGCTAAAGTATAAATCTAGCGTGAGGGCTGCTGTTACGTAAAGGACACAATTAATTAGCAGTTGTGGTTGCCGCAATCATAAAACTTTCTTTATGCAATGGGAGCAGCTGGCGTGCTTTTATATAGAGACATTTCATTGTTTATATATATATATAGTGTATATATAGCTATTCTTCCTGTTATCGTTATGCTTGATCAACTTTAATTAAGTCTATCAAATGTGTCGTACGCGTGTGGCGATGGTTTTTGAAGTTAAACTCTGCGCGGCACACGCGGCGTATGCGTAATCAAAGAGCCTTTGAGGCATTTTCGAAGTATGCATATTAATAAGGATTGACCTGGTGCGGCAATGCTTTGATAGCTCGGAGCGTTTGTGTTGGGAGTTCTATTGGCGATTATTACGCAGCTATGCTCGGCACATAATTATAAACTCACCTCCCAATAGGTCTCGATGCGCAGCAAGCAGCTCGGCAAATTGAGGCAGACAAAAACCGTGGAGACGACAAGCAACATTTTGGTTACCTTCAACTGGGATGAGTTCTGCACCTTGCGACGTCCTGCAAGATCAAGTCAAAGTGTCACATTAGTTATATGATATGATGAAATGCGTAAATTACTTGGCATTTATTTAAGTCCAACTTTTTTGCCCAGCAAGTCGCAATGGAACTCTTAAGTAGTTGGCATTTTCACGCTGCTTCTCAAGCGTGATTAATTGTGGGAAATTTGTGTGCAGCAAAGTTAATAAAGTTTGCCAACAAGTTGACTGCAGTTGTGCATGAGTCTGTCAATGTGTGTGTGTGTGTGTTTGTGTGTGTGTGTGTGTGTGCGTGTTTGTGCTGCTGCCTCGCAGCTTGTGCTTACAAATAAGCTGCTTTTGTGTGGTCTTGTCAACCAAATGCAACAAAACTTTCCGTTACCCACCTGATGGTTTCTGTGCTATCTCGCAATGATGTTGAGGCCTGACTTCCTGCCGTTGTTGCTGCTGCTGCTGCTGTTCGGTTTGCCTTGATACACTGTGCTGTCCACTCGGGTGTATGCCCGTTGATTTTTGACGCTTCAACGATGCTGCACTGCGATAACTGGAAGCTGCATGCGCTGGCATATTTGTCATCTGAGGTTTCCTGCAGGGTTGCGTGTAACAAAAGGAAAACATACTTGATTAGATTAAAATTGGACTTTTGTACTTATAAATGTAATAATATTTGTTATTGATGTGGACAGCATTCTTGTGAAATTGGAATCATATATCATAAATATCAAATGCAACGACAATGCCAACTCACATTTTGTGCATTGTGAGTGTGCGTCGAACGGTAGCAAATTTCCAAACGGTGCAGCCCGTACAGGTGTTCAGCACGGTGATGGTTGTAAAGGGCACCGCATAGACTACAATCGAGTCCCAGTAGTTGAATAAAGCCAGTTGCTCCTGTAATAAAATCCAAATTTCGTTAGAAATACGTATGCCATTTCTGTGTGTCTGTGTGTGTGTGTGTGTGTGTGGGTGAGTGTATGTGGCCCTAATCAAATTGGGATTGTGGCGCGGGTTGACGAGGCGTATGCGTAATGTAATTGCAGCTGTGCGACTGTGCTGGCAAATCGAATTGCATTGGCTTAAAAACAATTAAAAGCTGCATCAAACTGAATGAAAACTAGAACATTTTTTAGTTTTTTAGTTTGTTTTTCGAAAGTATTTGCTAAAAATGCGATTATTTTATGTGAGGTTTCCAGAGAAAAGTAAATGAATATTGTTAACTAGCTGCGAAAAAAAATTGAACTTTTTAATTAGAATTTCTGGCTAAATTGTTCCCTTTTCGGATATTTAATATAAGGTTAAAAGAAGTGCTATTTTTTAAATATTTAGTCATTTTCCAAATGATTTTTTGACCTTTCCTTCTATTTAGAGCATCTTAATCTGAGCTCTTAATCAACTTGTTCCTTCTTAATCTGCCATTTATTTTTAATACCTCTTCAAACAGATGAAGAGTCCTTTCCCAGAAAATTTTAATTGTATGCTGTTTAATTTAATTGCTTTCTGGGTTGCCTTTAAGCCGCCAAAAAAAAAAAAAAAAAAAAAATGTGAAGCAATAAAAATAAATATGGTTAATTCACTGAATTAATTAAAATAAGTATATCGGCTGCTACAATTATCCGAATTAAATTATTTACCAGCCTTAAAATGCCAGAATGTTTTTTAATAAACACTTACTCAATTGTACGCAATTAACACTCGGATGTAATTAATGAATATATATTGCACGGAAATTGAGTGCTGAATGCTACAGGTAATAGAATCAGCTTGCAAATCTTGCCAAAGGGCCGTAATGAGGCAATGTAAGATAATATTCTTGGATTCCTTTGTGTAAGCCATTTTAATTACGTATGACCTTAGGACATTCAGCTATTTTTAGTGATGAATTGAGCACGATACGGCTCGAAATGCAATTAGTTAAAGTAATTTTCCTGAGCCTTTTTCAATTTTTGGGGAAATTCAGCAATTGCTTTTAGCTTGAATCGATCAAAAGCATAATAATTCTTCAATTTCCAATCAATTCTCAGTGTTGATGTTGTTTATGTTGCTCTTGTTGTTGTTCTTGTTGTTTTTGTGGCATATGCTGTAAATTCCTTTGCAATATCCTTTTACAAGTTTTTGTATTAATTTTCCAATTTGGATGAAGCTAAGACAGTTGTAGCATTGGTTGATTTGTCTGTGGCATTGGCCTTGGGTGGATGGGCGGGCCCACTCAGAGAGTGTCGGAGCTAACTTTCAATTGGATTTCTTTTCCGTATACATGGATTACATATTTATTCTATCAAATATGTTGCAGTTGACCAGCTGCTGCTGGAAATTGTCAACAGTTGTGTTTTACCCATTGACAAGTCGCAATTTTAATCAAACACTTCTCTGGGTTGACAATAAACTAAGCCATGTGACTGTTGGCTGTGTGGCCTTGCAGCAGCTTGATTGATTTAGAGCCAGTGGGACTAAATGTGTATATCTATATTTATATATTATATATCTAACATGACTCTGCAAAATATAGCTGTGATTAAAACAACATCGAATTGCTTTCAATGTACACAACTTTCTGACCAAGAGTCGCCCAAAGCGTGTCGTATTAATAGGCTAAATAAAATAGCAAATTTAATTGATTCGCATGACAAGAGCGCTTGACTGGCTAGAATAAACATATTCGCCGAATGAGAGAGGGGTTCCCTCGCTCAAAACTTTATATTTTCGGAGTCTGCTTGCTGCCTTAATGTCCCACGCACTTTTCAAATATGTGGGCCTAATTACAGCTCGTTATGTTTCGTTCTGGAACATATTTCTTGGGCCATTTGCTAATGCAGACTATTTATATATTCTTCTAATGTACTTACTAACAATTACCTCTAATTTAATTCATTTACGTGCGAGCCTGGGCCAGCGCCTGTGCTCTGGCCGGCACATGGCCAAAATTCCTGTGCAATTTGTGCAGATTCAGTGAATAAGTAACTTAAGCAGGAGTAAGAGGAACAGTAACAGCAGCTGCTTTTAATGCGGGCATAGATACAGACCATGCCAGACGAAAAATGAAAAGTGTTTTCGATTTTTATTTTATTTTTTTTTGCGCCCGACCAGAAATCTATGCTCACTTTTCTATATTTTTGGCAATGCCCACGTACAGCCATCGATCTACCAAGTTTTCAATAACATAGTCAAGCGAGACGTTCAAAAGGACAAGTATATGTCCACATCACTCATACGACACGTTCGCCAAGCAACGGCAGCAGCAAGTGGCAGGGTTTGTGCTTTCATTTTCATTTTCATTTTATTTTCTCTTTTATTTTGGCGTTACTGATTGGATTTGAATGCATGAAATGTATATACATATACACATATATATATATACAACGTATTGTTCTTGACAATGCGACAATTTCGGGACACTTTATCATTTTGATAGGCGCGGCTTTGTTGCCAACTTTACGGCTCAGTTGTTGCTGCGTCCAATTTGGCTAATAGCTACGATCGCTGCTCCTGCTACTTTTTGTTTCATGCCACTTTTAAAGGTAGACATTTCTTTCTGTTTGTTTGACTTGCACTGTCTGAAAATTAGCATCGAATTTCAGGGTCTGTACCCTGGCCATTGGAGTGGCCTATACAATATCCAATATATGTACATATATAAACTATGTTTTGTAAATAGAAATTTGAGATTTAACGAATTGCCCTGGGAAGTTTTTATTGGGCAGTGTCTACCAGCTCTACCTCTTTTGTGTGTGTGGGTGAGTGAAGTTGTTTTTTTTTTTTTTTTTTTTTTGGTGCGCGTGTTCGACAATCGGACACACCTATAGCTAGCCCAAGGGCTCTGGCTTGCGTAGCAATTGTTTGACTTTCTTCTTTTGCGTTGTGGTTAAAAAAGAAATTGTTTGCCTTAGTTTTAGCTGCGGTTTGTCGTACGACGCGTTTGTATACCCTGTAGAGGGTAGGCCAGTGGAGTGAGTAACTTAAGGGTGAGTAACTCTCAAGGGTGAGGGATAGTTTTAATGAGGTGGCTTATTCTGAGAATAGTCTAAGCAGTACATTAGTTTTATATATGTATGTGGATGGCAAAGACTTCAGTTTTATTTAAACCTTTCCAAGGTATTTCATATTCGTAGCCAACTTATTTGAGGCTTGATCCCAGTCTTTTGGCCTTTGATGGCATGCTGCTGCTCTGTGGGCTACATTTGTGCCTCTAATTTGTTGTCTCTCTTAATAAATTGTCAATTTGTGCCTAACTCACTCAGCAGTTGGCTAAATAAACTGTGCGTTTGATTAATTGGTAACGTTTACCAAGTGTCATTATTGTTATTTTCCTTTTTTTTTTTTTTTGTATTTTGGTTTTTTTCCTCTTGTGTGACCGCAACAACTTGACGCACTTGGGCTTACTCTTAACATGTTCCGTTTTTTACCCAAACTTAAAGATCTCCTCTTTAGTTGGTTGCCCACTCAACTGTGCCACTATTAATTTAAGTGCCTGACATTCAGTGTTCAGCGGACAAAGAGTTTTTTCGATTCGATTTAACATATTAAGCGATAAGAGTCTTATCAGCAGCAGTAAAAAAAGACAGCAGAGAACAGAAATGTTTTCGACAGGAAATGAAATGAAAGAAGAGAAAAATATCGGACAAGTGCTTGGCAATTCGTTTATTTGCTGAAACTGTTGCTTAAATTGATTCTGAAATCCTCCTATGAGCTACACGGAATGTTAAGCAAAGGGTAGCAATTCGAGTGTAAACTTTATACATTTGATATGAATATTAGAAAACTAGAATATTTCATAAAAATATCCGCTACTTTTGACAGACAGTAAATGCTACCTGAATTTGAATTTCAATATATCATTGATAATCACATTAATTAGGTTGGGCCACGCATGAAGTGTTTCCTTATTTTTATATTTCTTCAAATTTTTTTTCTTTGATTTATGAGCAATGTGCGAAATCGTATAAATTCTATAGACTGAAGCTGCATAACAAAGAACAAACAAAGTCAAGCATTTTGAATATGTGATTCGCGCATATGGTGAATTCAGAGAATTTGCGACAGGATGTGCCGTAGTCTGTGCTTTTGTGGCAACCTTTTGTTGGTCGTTCACTTGCAACATTCTTGGCACTAGTCGCTGCCAGTTGCCAATGGCAACCCACTTAAAGCGTTCAGAGACCAGTATCTGGAATTACAAATATGCAATAGAAAGGCTTTTCATGTTTGATATGGATATGAATGTGGGGTGCATGAATGTGTGAATGAATGAGTGAGTGTGTGAAGTCAACTGACATTCATAGGCCTGGTGAGGTAAACTGTCGTAATTTGTCGCTGTTGTAGTTGTAGTGTGAAAGTATTACTCACGTTATAGGAGGTGTTCAGATCGCATATGGTATCATTCAATTTGGGACTGTAGACAGGCTTGGCAATCAATATATACGGCACACAGTGCACACATCCAGCGAGTGTGAGGCCAAATAGAACGATTTTGGCGCGACGTACGGTGCACATAATTTGACGCTTTAACGGATACATGACCGCTATGAAACGCTCGACGGTGAAGGCAACAACAAACCACACCGAACAAAAGCTGGCCAAATAGCTGAAGAACGTGAAGAACTGGCAGAAATAATTCTTATTATAGATGTTCACGTTGAGAAAGTTGAGCCACTGCATGAATAGGCCGCACAGGAAACAGGTATCGCTGATGGCCAATGCGGCCAAATAGAAGCTCGACGATAATTTGCGTAGCTTGGTCATGAAGAAGACAAAGACGGAGAGTATGTTGCCAATGCTGCCCGTGCAGCAGATGATGGGCACGTAATATCTATTCACAATATCGCCAATGAGGTATGCGATTCGCAGCATTTCCTCATCCTCGACGGACATAAAGTCCATGTCCATGTCGCCGCTGGCATTTCTGCTGTCATCTGCCGCAGCAGCGTAGTCGAGAAACGTTTCATTCAATGTGGATGTTGTTGATATGTCCTGGCTTACGTTCGACACGGCTGTCTCGTAAGGATTAGCCATAATTGCGCTTGAGCTGTGTTCGCTGCAAATTGAATGGTGGGTGTGCATTAGTCACACTATTTTCCCGGCTCTTTAACGATACGACTTTACTGCATTTTTAATTCCTTCTTAGCAGCTGCAACTATTTTTAGTTGTTGTTAGTTTTCAATTTCCCTTTTACTACACGGCACAGTGAAACCAAAACAGATGCAAATTTAATAAGACTCAACTTTCTGCTGGACTTGAGATAAATAAAATTTCCAACGAGCTTCAAGTAATGAACTACTGCGACCACAGTTTCCGTGTATTTTCTAGCTAAAAACTTTTCCGCTCTGCAGCCAACTTGAGGCAAATAAAATAATAAGCTTTACAGATGCTAAGAAGAAAGATTATATACCCTGCATAAACATAAATATGAATAAAAATAGAAAATGCACTCGCTTATTTCACTGAGCACTAGATGTTTATATATAAACTTATGCTCTAGTTAATATTACTATCTATTCTATCTATTCTACTTGTCATATTGATAAGAGATTAGTATTCGAGAACTGATTGCAAAATGAAATATGCCCTAAAAACTAAAAAATATGATTTTCCATTGAAAATGGTTTCAGAGTATAAAAA